TCAGAATCATAATTTTTGAGATTTTGACTTCAGAATTTTGAGTTTCAGGATTTTATACTGGATCTGAAAAATATATCTGATAATATTTTTTGAAGAAAAATGCATTTGAGACTAAATTTTTTAAAAAAAATTTACTTTTAGAACGATTTTCTTAAAAGATTTCACTTTTAATGTGATTTTCTTCAAAGGTAATCTTTAAAAGTGATTTCATTAATGGAAATAGCTCTAGATGTAAATTTTTCAAAAGAAAAGTCATAGAAATAATTTCTTTAAAAGAAAAGTTACAGAAATCATTTCCTTTAAGAAAATTACTCTAAAAGTAATTTTCTTTAAAAAATATTTTTAAAAATATTTAAAGAGAATCATTTTAAAAATACTTCTTTTCAAGAAAATCATTCTAAAAATATTTTCTTAAAGGGAACTATTTCAGAAATATTTCTCTTAAAAAAAATTATTCTAGAAACATTTTTCTTGAAAAGATCATTCTAAAAATATTTTTCTTAATGAGAAAGTTTCTTTTAACAGATTTTTATTTTTGAAAATAAAATGTAAGCCAAATGAGCTAACTTATAAATTGACTTAGCTTAGCTTAAATTGTTAATTCATTGTCTTGAGCTGAGCTGAGCTAAGCTAAGCTAAAATAAAAATGGTTCAACTTAAATAATAATAAATCAACTAAGCTAACTTATGTGAAACTTTAAAAGCAAATTAAAATAATTAATTAATAGTCTAATTTATAAAATAATAAATTTTTTTATAAAATACTTTACTTTTTTTTGATCAGAAATTTTATCTGAACTTAATATTTGATTTAGTTTTATTTGAAAAAATAAGTCAATATCATTTGCATTATAAATGACTTTTCTATTATAATTTGCTAAAACCTTTTAAATATTCTTTAAGTAATATAATTAATAAAGTATTATTAGTTTTACCAATAAAGTTCATTTTACAAAATCCATTTTTTTGTTTAAATTTATATATCTAGTTATTAGCATATTTTATAAATTAGTAAAAATTTTTTTTATATAAAATTTGATTAAATGATAATTTAAGTAAATTTAAATAAATTATTTACTTTTGTAATAAATTAGGCAGTTTTATTTATCTAAATATACTAATAAATAAATCAAATATTAATAAAATTACCAATATATTATATTATATAATAAATGCATTTATAATTCTATCAGTATAGAAGGAAATTAGATTGTAAAATATTTCTTATACAAAAAAAATTTAAATTCTTTGATTATATATTTTAAAAAAATACATATAATATATTTAAAATTATTGTAATTTTATAATCAAATTTCTTATTTTCAATACCTTAAAAAAATATCTGAAGAACAACTTTTAGATAATGTTACTTTCTCATTTAAGAGGATTCTGCATATGCCAAATATATAAATTGTAGTGAAAAAGTATAAAAGAAGAAAAATAATATTGAAAATAAAAGTATCTAATGATGATCATTTATCATCATCAGGTAGAATTTGAAGCAATCATGATATTAGAAAATAAAAATGCATTTACTTTATTTATTTATTATTTGTTTTAAATTATTATTTTAATGATATCCACCCATTTTGATTTTCCAGATGTCCTATCTAGAATATGCAATTATCAATAAATTACATTATAAATTATTTCAATAATTAATATAATTAATTCAAATTATATATTATATATTCTATTATTAACCACCAGCATTGTTGCCACCCCAAGGGTTTTGAGGGTTTTGTGGTGGTTGATTTTGGAAGATCCATTGACCTCCGTTCATTCCTAAATGTTGATTCATGGTCATCTGTTGTTGCTGTGGAATCATTTGCGTCGGCATATTTGTCATTTGCCGTGTTAAGATCAATTGTGGACGCATTCGTCTTTGTAGTATTTGAGCATTTGCCATATTTTGTATCAGGAATGAATTTGGTAGCAACCCCCCCCCCTGTATAAATTGTTGTGGCATCATTCCTTGCATGTTTATCATTCCTGGATTTATAATTCTCCCATGAGTACGTGGTGCAATTTGAGATCTATATAGGAAAGGCGTATTTGGATTTTGTGGAGCGAGTTGAATCTGTTGGAATGACCGCTGTTGATTAATTCGAGTTGTTCCTTGTGCAGAAGCGTTCTGGTCAGTCGATTGTATCTGAAGGTTCATTTGGGGATTAACTCGTGTATGACTCATCTGATGAATCATCTGATCAGTGGTATTGACCTGCAAGCCTCGTACAGGATTAATCTGTGGAGTTACCGACGAAATGTTGACCTGATCGGTCACTTGTGCAGGAATATTGATTTGAGATTTCGACTGCGCTTGACTTAACTTAGGAGTAACCCGTACGGGATTAATCCTTGGTGTTGTTTGTGCTTGTTGAATGGTGATTTGATCAGATACTTGTGCGGAAATGTTAGTTTGATTCATTTTACTTTGTATATTTAGAGGAGATGTTCTATTTAAATGATCAGTTGGTTGTGTTGGAATATTGATCTGTGGAGTCACCTGTATTTGACTCATCTGAGAGGAACTTGTTTGAGATGGAATGTGTACTTGTGTAATCGGTTGCGTTGGAATATTTATTTGTTGCGTCGGAATCATTTGCGTCGGAATATTATTCATTTGCTGCGCCGAGATATTCATTTGCTGCGAAGTGATATTAATTTGCTGTGAATGGATACTCATTTGCTGCGTCGGGATATTGCTCATTTGTTGCACTGGAATAATTTGTGACTGATCTTGTGTTGTTCTTCTCCTAACACCTTGCCTAATATTAGCATCTTGAGTTAATGCTCCTTGCTGATTGGCAACAGAATTTACTTGAGTGGTATTAATTCCTTGTTGAATATTTATTCGGACGTTAGAAAGTCCTTGAGTGTTGGGTCGTCCACCCATATGGTTTGGTCTCTGCATCAAATGAAATACATTTGGATTGTTTTGAATTTGGATGGGAACTTGTAATACGGTATTTTGTGGTGCAATCGTCGAAATAGGATTTTGTTGAAGAACTGGATGAGTTCCATTGGAAGTCGTCTGTGGCAATTGAATCGGAACATTGTGTTGGAGAACAGGACTATATGTCGGTTGTTGGTCCATATGCTGCGATGGCGTAGCCTGATGATGTTGTGTCTGAAGTTGCAAATTTTGAGTTTGTGAAGTCATCTGTTGATTAACAACATTTTGACTTTGTGCAGAAGCTGGATCTTGAGCTTGAGTTTTCGTACTAATTTTACCAATTTTGGAGTTTCGTCTTGGTGGTGGTTTTGGATCTTGATTCACTGATGAACTTGCTGTTGGCTTTTCTTGCATAGCCTTTTTTTTTGCTGCAGAATTGTAAAGGTCGGAAACGGATAAGCTCTTTGCTTCTTCTTTAGAGCTCGTTATATTCTCACCATCTGATTGATGAGGCAATAATTTAATGATTTCATACGGTTGCATGTTATCAAATTTCATTTCCATTTGCTTATTTGTCAATTCGGTCGTAACTTCAGTCAACATTTCGACCGGAACTTTATCGACTTCTTCAGAGTCAAATTTCAAGCTATTGTCGATCGAATATAGAACGACGAATGCTTTCAAAAAGGCTTCGTAAGCTGCAGCGTCCTCTAGCTCGGTTCTAAAATTTTTTAAAATAATGAATGTTTAATAAAACTTTCCTTTTTTAAATCCATATTTATATGTAAATCATGTTACCTGAATGTGGCTCTATTGTCATCTAATTCCAAATTACATACATTGTCATCAACTGTATTCAAGCCCTTAGCTTGCAGATACTTCTCACTAAGAGAGTGACAAATTGCCTCATGTTTTCCATTTACATCTTGGTATATGTTAAGTAATGTATAAATCTTATATTGTTTACCATCTAATACCGAAAAAAAATATAAATAAAAATGTAGATCATTAAAAAATTTAAATGTAAAAGGCACCCTTACCGTTCTCATCAGTAAAGTTCCGTTCGAACCTTAGTTTTCGAACGAATTGTTGACCCAACTTTTTGGCCGACGTGGACAATCCTCGGCCTATATTTAATTATGTAAAATAAATGAATATAGTTATTTTTAATACGTTATATTATTTAGCTAGAAGTAAATCGATATATATATATATATATATATAAACCTGATTCTGCCATGTTAATGTCAAGGTCGTTACCGATAGAGGAAGTTACATTAGTTACCCCGTTCCTCCTGAAGTAAGAAAGAAGCTTAAAAGTAGGCTTAAACTCTTTCCCGTGCCGCTAAAGACAATAATAGTTATATTAAGACGTAGCAAAAGATGATCAAAAGTTCGGAAAAAAAAAAAGTCACCTCATCCATCATAAACATCATCTGTTCTTTTCTAGCCTTTTTGGCCGCCTCTTGCTCGAGTTCGTACGAATTTAACTTTCGCTTCTTTGTTTTAAGCTCACGATGAACCTCTTCCACCGGTCCATCCGCAGGATCATATCCTTTCATGCTCTGAAATGTCGAGTTTGGATCCAAATCTATTTTTGGGTACATGGCCAACTATAATAAAAAGTAAATAACGAATATAATAACTTGTACATCATTGAAATTTATATTACCAACAACTGAGACTCCACTTGGATCGCCATTTCATGTGTCCAGGTACCTCCCGCGTCCTGATTCATTTTCAACACATCGTCCCAGAGGGACGCCCTATTTTGTTTTAAGCAGATTCTTTTGCCCGAACAAAAAGGCTGCGGGCGATGGTCAACATATTCAAGTACTACGTCACCTGAAAATATAATTAATTTTAAGTCACGTGAAAATTTTAAAATTCTTCTACAAAATGCTATACCTTTATACCAAGAGTATTTGCCTGGAGTTACGTCGACCGTTCCGTCCTAAAAAATAATTTTGTAGCAAAAATACCCATTCAAAAAGTAAAAATGAATTAGCAAGAAACTGTAGATGCAAAGAACTAATTAAAGCTTAATATTCGTAGAAAAAATGAAGCGAAAGTAAAAAAAAAAATACTTACGACATTCTTGATTTCAACATATCTCTCATCCACGTGGGCTAGCAGAGAAACATCGACATTGTTTAATAGGCTATTCG